TGAGCAAAAAAAATAAATTTGAACGGTTGTAGTCTCAGGCTGCAACATAACAAAATTCACAAAAAGTGAAGGGGGCCTGCATACTTTCCGAATGCACTGTAGGTGTGCCCATTTCAGATATGGATGCTTACAGGTTAAAGCTTTTCAAGGACAAACAAAAATGGGCACCTATAATAGATGGGAATTTGTATACATCCTGACATAAAGATTTCCTGCAGCAATGAAGGAAACATTGTATACATCCTGACCTTCATGCATTCTTTTTTTTAATATTTCTAAACCCTGGATTCTTTCAACAGTCTTAAAATGCATATATGAGACACAAAAATATATTTACTGTAATATATAAAGTTTTATCGCATTCACCAATAAAGGGATTAGAGTATTATTTTTAATGTTATCCCTAGGTGGCAGCAAGAGGTCTGAAATATTGAATATTACTGCCGTACACCAAAGCCCTGCTTTTGTCCTAGATACAGTCTAGCTCTCCCTTGGGGCAGAGAAGAGACCCATTTTATTTCTTTAAAAATATTTCTTTGAAGTGCACATTCACAATGCATTACAATGGACAAGCTATTCTAAGCATATAGTTTGAAGGAAGTCATATTTGACAAATTCAGGAAAAAATATAGAATCACATAAACACAAAGTAATGAGCTAGAGTGAAGTTTGCTGAAAACTTGAAAAAAAATCTGAAAAGACTGGGAAATATTTTCACAAGATGAGAATTTTAAGTGGTCTGTTTTCTTAAACAACTAGGCTATATATAGTGCTATACAATGACTCAAACTGATATCATACAAAAAGGGAACACACATTACTGGTATTCATTTATTACTGCTTTCCTTTTAGTCTATTCAATTATGTTACCTAGCACTCTATTTTTCAAATGTGGAAAAATGGAGTTGGGGGTTGACTTTGACGGCTGGGTAGGATCAGCAATGTGCCATTCCCAAGCTTCCAGGCTTACAACTTGTGTATGAAGGCTTCTGCCCTGCAGACGTTCATATAAACAGACATCCAGCAATAGTCCAAACTAGTAAGTACAGTATCAGGAGGAAGGCTGAGGTCAGAACACTCATCCCCTTAGTCATACACTGATTCAATGCACAAATGTCTAAAAAGTGATTCTAAAGAAAATGAAAGGACTGGTGAGAGAGGAGTTTCACATCCTGCCCTCCCTATTTCCTCTGTCAGCTGAAATCTGTCCAATTCTCAGCAGCTGCTAAGGGGAATGTCTGTTCCTGTCTTTTACCTTCCTACTGAAAATAGCTGCTTTACCATCCCATTGCAGAACTACCTCTTCTCTTTATCTCACCACCTAATACCATGAAAAGCCCTGAAATTACTGCCATACAAAGCTGACAATGAATCTAAATGGGCCAATAGTTTGCAAGCATACAGGGCAGTTTCTTCACATGGTGATTATTCAAAGTGGTCAGATTTCCTTTAAAAATTAATGTTATACTCTAGCAGAATCAAAGGGAACATTTTTATTTCAAATATGAATCCATTGAGAAAAAAAAATTTTAAATTAAAAAATGGATTCCCATATGAGTTTTTCCACTGCTAAGAAGTTTGTAGTAGCCTTAGCATTATTAATCTGCAAATCTAAATAAATCTAATAATCTAAATAGAATCTAAACCTAATAATAGAATCTGTACATCCATTATAAAGGCCTATGCAGAAATTTGAATTAGAGAGGAAACAGATTATTTGGAGCATGCATGGGTGCACACATGGTACCACCCTAAATCAAACATGTCATTTCCTTCTGTGCAAGTCCAGGAAAAGATGCAGGTTCTTTAAGGATTAGCTCACAGACACTAGGTGCCCCTCTGTGCTCCAAATCATATTTTCTCCTATGAAACTGGATTGCTGCACTAAAATAAACACACATGCAACAGAGGCAACCACACACAACCATTAAAATGAAATCACATTGTCAAAAAATTTGTATAGGAAAGTCAAGCAATAAAATAGGTTTTAAATGTTTATTTTTAAAGAAACATTTATATCTGCTCAAACCTATTTCTCCTGCATCAAGATGTGTCCCAGAGGGAAATGAACTAGCCTTTGCAAGCGTTTCTTAATTAATTGAAACAGCAGTTGTTAGAATATAACTTTTTTAACAAAGCAGAAGTAGCTAAAACAAAAAGGCAAAGTTTCTTATTTCATATATAGTGTCATTTCCATTTCTGTTCTTAGTAACAGTGACATCTTTCTTTGTTCACTAGGCACACAAACTCTATTCATAGAGGCCAAATCCTATAAATAATTTGCCATGAGCAGAAGAGCCAGTTTGGTAGGCCACTGTTCCACACACATACACACCCCACTCAAAAGCAAAACCAATCCAATCCAATCCGCTGCACCAAATATAAGACACATTATTCCCCATGGTAACTAAGCTTCTCTTGATGGTCCTCGTTTGGGATAGAGATTAAAAAAAACCAAAAACCTCTATTATGCATAAAGCTGAACGGTTGATTTGACGCTGTCTCTCCAATTAGCTCACCTATAGGAATCCTGCAGAATGACTGTCCCAAGTCTCTTTATGAGTAGGTTATAGTATGCTGGACATGAGATTTCAAAGAAAGCTTTTAAAGAGCTGTACAAAATGCAGATACCTCTTAAAATTAATTTCAAAACAGCAAATGTATTAGCTGATCTTGGATAATCTTGGAAAGCTAAGCAGCGTTCAGCCTGGTTAGTAAAGACCAGGCTGTAGGCTAGACTGCAAAGTTAAAAAGAAAACATAAGGCGGCAATGGCAAAACCATTTCCATATAGCTGTCAGAAAACAACATGAAAATGTCCATGAAGTAACCAGGTCACTGACTTCATCTTTACCTTCAAAGCATTACTAATATATAAACACTGTCCATGTTTCAGTCTACTTATCAGTTCCAAGAAAAAAACCTCCCAAATAACAACATATTTTGCTGTATCAATTGGCATAAACAAGTGAACACCGACTGCACATCCATTATAAAGGACTATGCAGAAATTTGGATTAGAAAGGAAACAGATTATTTGGAACATGCATGACGCAAAATACCACCCAAACCAAACATGTCATTTCCTTCTGTGCAAGTCCAGACTTGATTAAATAATATGGAGATCCAATAGAGACTATTGCTATTATTTCCTTCTCTTCGCAATCAACTACCTATAAACAAGAAAATTAGCTTTTGCCACCAGGTGTCCTCTAGTTCTACTGAAGATATAAATCCAAGAAGGAGTTGAAGTACCAACACATGTGGAGTGTGCCAAGTGAAGAAGACTAAGCAAACTGCTACAAAAGAAATGCTCCTTGTACCCAAGGTAAGTGATATGTAAAAATTTAAACTCACCGGTTGTAAAGATTCCTCTTGCCTCCTGCTTTGGCTCTGACGGCTGATGAAGGACCGTGTTGACACTTTATAATGATTCAGCAAGCAGATGATTACTACTATCATAACAGTTATCACCACAATGATGATGATAATCTGAATAAATTCTAGTTCCGCTGTAGGGAAAAGAAAAAAAATATCATTTTAAGCCAGAACAAACAAACAAACAAACAAACAGCATGTAAAAAACCAAAACCAGAGGTACAAAGCCCCAATAGATCAATATTTGCTGATACATATAAATTGCAGACTGTGTCAAAGAAAAAATTATACCCTTTACAGTAATAAAAATGTTCCCAAGATGAAGAAAAAAAATAAATTGTTTATGGATAGTTAAGCATTGAATAGCAATGGAATAGTAGTGATGAGATGTTTATGTCTTCACTATTGGAGATTTGCTCCCCTCCATAGTTTAGAAGACAGTTTCCACCAGCTTTGAGTTTAGAACTGTAACAGTACATATCTCACAGTTCAGTGTAAATATGACTTCTTTTGAAAGTGATTTCATCACGTGTAGACCTCAGGGGTAATTAAGGAAACAGATCTAGATCAAGGATGTAATAAAATATAAAAAAGCTTAACTGTTATGAGATACTTGATGCATCATCTAGATATACAATTCTTATTGCATTTAGAAAGTACATAGTGAACACACTAAAAAGTAAACCAATATTAGGACCCTGCGAAGACATATCCTTCAAGGCAGAAATAAAAAGATACAGATATTAAAAATAATACTATTTATTATTGCAACAGGTCATATACCTCATGCTATAAGAAGAGAGGAACAATAGCTAAAGCTGATATACTATGTTCAAGGCAAAGAAATGCAGTCTTCACACAAATGTTTCCACATATAGTTCTAAAGATTATCCTCTGGCTATGTAACATTCACTAATTAAGTACTACATATTACTAATTTTTTTAAAAAATCCAGAACAGGTCACAGAAGAAAACCATCATCATGGTATCATTAGTGCTCTTATACTCATATGTGTAAACAGCTACTCCGGCTATCATTTTATAATGGAAGTTAATAACCAGAAGGACTGAGTTAAAAAAACAAAAACAAATCCTTAATATGCAAAGCTCTCATTAAAGGTAATAACAAAAAAAATGAACAGGGACTGCCTTTGCTTATATCACTATGCTTTTTTTTTTGTTTTCGTATTTCAGTGAAACCATGGTGATGAGAGATTAACCTAGAAAGTCACTGTAGTTTTTCAAAGTCGCAATGCCCCCCAAAAGTCTTAAAGATTAAAAAAAAATGCCCATGGGTATTATAAATGTTTTCCTTTTGGAAGACATGATAATTGCTTTACACGCCTCAGATTCAATTACAGCATCAATTAAAATGATGGCACTTTGGGACAAACCTGTCGCATCATTAATCTTGAAGGATCACACCTTTAGCTGTTCAAATTAACAGAAAAAAAAGCACATCAATGACAGATAATGTACTTGTCTGTGTGTGTAAGAACTCTTCAAAATTCAAGTCTTCAGCTGCCCACATATAAGCTAGAATTCAGTCATATTTCAACCAAAACATGCCTTTGACCATTGCCAATATATACCCTGTAATGGGAATGGTGAACCAAAGGCAAAATGCACAATTTGCTAACATGCTAATGATTATAATCTCTTGCAATAAATTCTGTAATTCACAAAAACATTCAGTTTCACAGAAGGAATATGAAATTCAGATTGCAAAACATTCCAATTATTTCTAAAAATAATTACATAAAAGCACAGATAAGAGTGTATCAGCATTTCTTTTCTTACAAGTTAGGCCAGGTAGATGTAAAACTTTTAAAAGTATAACATGTAGTAAAGTAAGTATTTTTCTTGCATTCAGTATTATTTCCAATGATTTGGGGAAGAATAACACTTTTAAAAAGAGTATTGGTCAACTTCCTCTTCTCTGTTAATATCAAAAATGTATAAATGGGTTAGTGACAGAACCTAATAACATTTCCAGTAAGGGCACATGTTCTAAGTTACACTTCTTAAATAGACAAAACTGTGCAGGAAATCTTATTACTTACATACTGTGTTATTTACACTTTTAAGATTAAAAGAATTTTGTTATGCAATTGAAGAAAATATACTAATCATTTATCCTTTTTTGCTTTACAAACTACTTCCTCACAATGAACAGTACTAGCTAGATACAATTTTAATTTAGCCAATTACAGATCTCCTCTGCTTCCCTCAAAAACTCTATATGCAACTGTACATTTTATTTTTCTTCAGGTCTTTGTACTTCTAATTAGTGACAGGAAGGTACAGAATGTTCTCTTTGATTCTGTGTCCTGTGAGTTCTCTTCCTTCTGCTAGAAAACAAATTTCAGTTTTAAAAGCAACTATTCCTGAACTAAAGGATTTTTGAATATTAACTACTTCAAGGGCCAATAACCCAACAGTTGACCCAATTGCATTATTGTGAAACAGACATGAATAAATTTAGTACTGTTGATTTAGGCTTTCCTAGAATGCAGTGATGGCTGGAATGCTACTACTTCTGCATCTGCCAAAAGTGTAGTTTTCTAAACTTAATCAAGGGCTGTGCATATTTTTACAGAAGAGCATTTCCTCTTTTTACAAAAAAACAATTCCTCTTTTTCTCTGAGCATTACAATGATGCCCCAAAAGTTATTTAATTGTAGGTGCAGGGAGGGAGGAAGAGAGTCTCCACTCTGAAAATTTGGGTAACAAAATACTTAATTTGTTTTGCAAACTATAAAGAGATGGCTTTGGTTCTTTCTCCCCTTTCTTCTTATCAATCTCACAATGATCCATTCAGTAAGGGAACATTAGTGGGTATCTGCTAAGTGCAAAAACTTATTCTGACTGTGAACAATTTCTCATTAAAGCAACAATGTTATAAAAGACTGGCATATTACAGAGATTTGTTAAAATATCCAGTAGCCTTTGGGTACACAGAAAAAAGTGAAGCTGAAAATAAAAAAGTAAATCAATTAAAGTCCAAAGATACAAATCAAGAGAATTCCTTAAGATCCTCACTTTGATATTATTCTAAAACATGCTTGTCCTGCTCATTAGTCTATAATAAATATAACCCTTTGCTATACATAGATATCATCACCTATAAGCATGCACTAGAGGGAGAAAGTATATTATTATTATTATTATTATTATTATTATTATTATTATTATTATTATTATTATTCTGCCCTGACTGTAAGCAGGGCTGACTGAAATGATCTGTTAGGCCAGAGGAAAGCAACCTGGTGCCCTCCAGACAGTCTGGGAAACATCCCCCATGTTCCTTGCCCTTGGTCATGCCGTCTGGCCTGATGGGCAGTTAAGTCCATCGCGTAAGGAGACACCACACTGCCCATTTCTGAGTGAGGAGGTACCGAGACGGGGCAGCATGTTGCCCATATGTTTATAAACTACACAGAGAGAAATAATTACGAGAGAAAGTGTAAGCAATGAGGCACGGGTACAATTAAAAGTAACCTTCAGAAGAAATTACAAAGCAAGAACTACGCGAGAAAGAGAGGGACGCCAGAATACCTCTGTGCAAAAGCAGGTCTTTCAACCGAGCATCCTTCAAAGTGGTAGCGTTAAGCTCCTCAGCGGACATAATTGTGTCCTTCTCCGCCGGAGTAGGAGCCCTGCAGCGAGCAGAGCATCGCTTCGGGCTCCAAGCGGCAGTCTAGCGGTGCTCTTCCAGACTCCCCTGCTCGCCTCGGCAGCTGCGTCTCGCCCTCGCCCGGCAGACAACGGCACCGAGCGCTAGACGCTACTCGGTCGGGGGGCTCCAAACGGCACGCGGTGGCGCCCGGTTCCCGAGAGTTGCTGGCGCAGCGGAGAATCAGGGCCGCGAATGAGGACCCGGAGGCAGCAGGGAGGTCGGCGAGGAAGGAACGCTTCGCTGGGGCCTCTCATGCTTCCCCGACGGAAGCGGAGCCCCCAAGACGCCCCTCGGCCGCCCTAAAAGCCACCGACTCGGGCGCCGAAGTCCCCGCAGAAAGAACGGCAACACGGAGCAAGGCGCTCCCGTGTCAACGTGCTCCCGGGGGATACACCGCGTGCCCCCGAGTTAAAAGACCGGGGAGAGAAGAGCCATCATGTCAAAAGGAGCGCCATTCGTTTTTTACAGGCTGGAGGGGGGGGGGGGAAAGTTGGGCAAGGAGTGAGGAGAAAGCAAGCCAAGGACGACGCCGTTCTTACCAACTTCCCGCACGCAACTGCCTCGCCGCCTCAGCTGCCTCGCACTTTCAACCAACCCCAGCTGACACTTCGCAGGCTCCTCTCTCTTCCGCGTTTCTGCTCCGACGCGACATGCGTCACTCCAGCCCCAGGCGCGGCGACCGCCGGGGCCGCTCTAGGAAGAGCCTTGGCGGGGCGCCCTCCCCGCTCTCCAGCTATTGGGAAACGCTCGCACGTGTCCTATGCCGGCGCGGATGGAGCCCGTCGCTTCGGCCGGCTGCCGGTCGTTATGAAGGCAAAGATTGCTGTGGCCTTCTGTCCAGTCGCCCGGCCGCCGGCCGATTTCTGTACGAAACGCTTGGGGAGGTTAAAAAGAGAGCCTGGCCGCCTGCCAAGCTCTGAGGCAATCACTCGCCTTTCCGGCTTTTCAGAAAAAGAGAGGGGGAATAGACGCGTGTGTGTATCGGTAGAATTGGATTCCCTGACCAGCCACTGTCAGTGTTTCATCCGATGACCCTTCCTCAGTTTCCTTGGGCAGGTTTCTCTCCCTGCTGTAGCTGGAAGTAAAATGTATGAATATGTGCCTTACCTATTCCACTCTCCAGTTTGGAACAACTGCTCACGACTGCTGTATGTAACTATATATAGCCCTCCTTGTATCTTTGACTCACATGTAATTACAACCTAAGCGATTAAAAGTGGCTCTTTGTACAGCCTAATTTGAACTACATTTAACAGCAGATAAAGACTTAGACTTGGATTCAAACACAAAAGACACGCAGCTGTCATTTTTCTTGGTATAATCTAAGAAAGGATTTGGGCTACACTGTTTTTAAGGGGAAAAAAAACCCAGTATATAATATTCCTGTTTTTTAGGCTCAAAAAGGGTATTGCTTTTAGTGCCATAGCTTTTCTGCTACACTGTCTACTGTATGAAAATAGCCTTGAATGAGCACAGGTGGAATTAAAACAGGATTCTTTCTTTTACGGGAGAGGAAAAGTGGGAAGATTAGCTTTCTGGAGAGTCTGAGAAATTTGTTCCAGACTACCACTGCACCACATTTTATCTTTTTAAAAACATACGTACTTTGATTTTATTTAGCTTTTCTGAGATTAATCGCTATCAAATGTGGGGGAGGGGAGTTGAGCAGAAAGGCTGAATTTTCAAGTCGCAGACCTTTACAATATTCAACCAGGTAGTAGCACTATTGAAATCATTTCACTTTTTCATTATGTTACCTTTTAATTACCAGAAAAGCAGCATAGATTATGAGGGGGCAGTCTCTTTGGGTAGAGGAATGGGGATATAACCTTGAAAAAAGTAAGGCAGGAACAAGTAAGGAAGAATAAAATACAAGTTACTCCTAGAAATGGAGAAGGCATGAGAAAGGGACTCAATATAACCCTGCCTTGATTCTATTTGATGGAAGAGAGGGCAGAGGGAAACCAGCAGGCTTAGGGTAGTATTCCTATAATCCTTGCACTTTTTCCTGATCTGGCTTTCCTCAAAGGACTGACATTCAGGGTTAGGAGGACAATGTCAGCTGAGGCACAACCTGGAAAATACTGTAAGTGGTGGTGGCATCAGGAACTACCAAGGGACTACTCAGTGGCAGGAAAGAGGTCCAGGATGCGAAGACCCTGTGATGTGTGAATCCTGGGCATATGCCCCATGCTCTTAGTATACATCCATACATCTGACACAAGATGAACCCTGAAACAACTCTCTCTCTCTCTCTCTCTCTCTCACACACACACACACACACACACCCCTACTATATACAAATTTCTTCTACTTTCCACTTGATCATTTGGAACTTCTGCTTAGCATTAATTTCCATCCTACTGGTCTTTCATGGTATCACATGAAAAAAAAACTTTTGGCAGTTGTGGGGAATGCCCTTCCTTCCTTCCTTCCTGTGCCAGAAGAAAAATGGAAGGACAGCTGGAGCTCAGATGAGGTTATAAAAACATTTTTTTTTATTGTTAAAAGTTTATAATGTTTTAATTGGGTGTAGTAAAGGGCCTAGGCAGGTGCCAAGGAATGTCTCAAGGGGTCCTGTGTCCTGCAAACGCATTACAGTTGGCTCCAGGACTAGGTAAACAAGGGAAGATGAGGGAACATTTTAAAAAGAAATAGAAATAAATGTGACTGTTCCTCTTCCTCTTTTTATCATTTCAAATAATATTTTATTTTAGTTTTAATGCGATTAGGTGTGAGCAAGTAAACAGATGGCACCAGCTTGGAGATTAGAAACAGAAGCCAGAAGAAATAAGTTTGGAGGAAGGATTTAAAATGAAAGTCAAGTGTTTAGGCATCTATATTAACTCAGCATTAAAGCTTTTTTTTTTTAAAGATATTATTAATAACTACTTTGAAAAGTAACATAAATTTTAAAAAAATCTTTCCAAGGTTTGACTAAATCTCCCTTAAAATCTCATTTCATAGATAAACACAGCTGTGCTTGATCCACACGGGTCCACCCACAGGCCATATACTTCCATTTAATGCCTCATCTGGCTGAATCTATTATGCTCTGCAGAAAAAATGAACCTCATCCCTTCAAAAGCCATTTTAAGATAAGACTGAGATGTATCCACATGGACATAGAAGATCAAGGTTTAAAATCCCACTTTATCCATGAAGGGCCTTTGCTTCTAGAGCAATTTATATCATCTATAACCTCAAATACCAAAAACAAAACAAAAAAATCTACAAACTGTCAGAATTAACAAGATTTAATTTGTAAAGCAATTTGTACTGAAAGTTCTAGCTATGCAAATGAGAGTAATAAGCATACACTCCTTGTCTATTTTCAAACTTCACAATCATGAGGATATATATGCCAGATTGGAATCATTTTGGAATAAGAGAATCTGTACAACATATTTTGCCAGCCTGATTTCCTTGGAAGGTTATATATGGCAGCCTATGTCCTTGGGAAAATCTAAACCAAGAGAGTGGGCACAGTCAAAGACAGATGGAGAAGCAATCCATCTGAGAAGTGTTTGCTGTATAGCCCAAAGATTCCAGAACCGAAGTTCTTTATCAAGGGCAGTATAAATTGAATGTTTACCGAAAAAATCATTTGTTTAAAATGAAGTATAAACATTCTACTTCTATACAAGCCATTAGAATTGTGAAAACATACTGAGAATATTTTTGATTCCTGGCATGGAGCCTGAAGCTACAACACAGTTATATATTATGTGTTCACTATTTGTTAAGAGAGATGTTTTGCCTCCCCAACATGAGTATTTTTTTCTCTTTAGAAGTCTAAATGAATGTACTGAAGAAACAACGTATACTTGTTACAGAGCATGATTTTCCTAAGGCACTAGCTCGAATTCTACCTTCTAACTAAAGCGTTTTTTAGATTTATGAGAAAAAGTTACCACACATTGCCACACAACTATCTTCCTACGTAATGTGCCAAAAGATTCAACTCCCAAATACAAAAAACAGATTTCTGTGCTTTTGAAAAAGGGCTGCAACAAAAGATACATTTCCTTGTGGAACAAGCCTTGCTCTATAAATCTAGTGTTCATTTGCCACTGTTCTATGTATTCCTCAAGATACAAAGGAAACTCTACATACCACCTAGTTACATCATAATGGGAAAATATTCCATTTTGAAACCATTATCCCAATATGTGGATTATTTTTTGAAACATTTCTTTATACCCTCATATGTTAAAAATTATCAGTTTATAGAAAAAACAAACTTCATATTGACGTCAAAGACAAATGGGTGGCCTTAGATGCTACATCATTGTATACAAGCACCTACAAGACATCCAGTTTTCTTCATGGAGAGAATAAAATATCAATGAAAAAATAGACCACCAATTGCACAGTATCAATTGTTAGAGGGGTATTTCCTAGAAAAACAGTATGAGATCTCAAATTCTAGGCTGTGGAACAAGTTAAAGGGAGGAATGAGAGAGGTCTATTTTTAAAAAATAAAATGGATCCTGAGGTTACATAGCTTAATTCACAAGAGATGAAATGAGGAGGCACAGTGCCTACCATTAATCTAATGTCATGGATCAGAGTGCCTTCCTCCCGTTGGTGATTAATTTAGCAATCTGTCTTTTACCTATGATGCCTTCCAAGGTGATAGCACCTAATGGACCTTGGTTGATTTCAGAAACTTAGAAGGATTAGCCCTGGTTAATACTTGGATGTAGAGTTCCAGGGCTTCTGGATAGGAAGTTAAAAACATTAAGGTAGCAGAAGACAGGGGCAAGCAGCTTCCCTTCCACAACTTCCATAATACAACTAAGAAAACTGCATGGATACTATCACTAGAGTCCACTTGCCATCACCTACTTTTTCAAGTTTGACTTGAGGGAGTATTAACTTTTTATCTTCAATTTATGACTAAAAGCAGGATTTCATTCTAACAGAGAATAAATAAATATATACCTTTTTTTCCCTTCCTTTTGATTCTGTCTCCTGCCCTCATACTCAGGAAAAAAGCATAAATAAATGCAAAAAAAAAGCATTTCTAAAGTACCCTTGAGGCACTAGAGATAAAACAACTAAAACCCAGTTTAGATTACATAAGCACGAAAAAGCAAGCAAACTGTATACAACTAAAATAAAGCAGAGCTTCTGATATTTCACTCACCAAACAAGTGGACTTTTTCTATCAGGGTTAGAAAGTATTGTTAACTAGCAAATAAGATAGAGTTGGTATCTTCAGAGAATCACATTTTGTAAATGTTTCCTGTAGAATATCACCTCATTTTTTGAAACAAAACATGTCTTTTAACAAATAAAAAACACATTATTAAAGTTTGTTATTGTTTCATACTCCATGTCTGGAATGTAAAATATTCACAGAAAATAATATGTTTATACTCCTTTATTTTAAATAAATGCCTTTTGCAAAGTCAATTTTAGTGTCCTTAATATAAGACCTAAGGTCTGAAACATGTTAATCTATACAACAATTGTTTCTCAGTCACACTAGGGATCACCTCTCCATATGTTT